CAGTGAGTTGATTCAGCGTATGCATGTTCCCTGCAGAATCTCGCAGCCTGCACAGGGATTTGAGCGCCTTTGGCCTGGGTTTGCCCAGGATTGACAAGAAGTGACCACCTATGTGGCAGGTAGCAACAGCGGGGCAGAGCTGACAAAAATTGTGTGCTAGCTAGATACAGCGGGTGCTGTAGCAGCATTAATGGCTAAACAAAAAAGCAAAAATCCCAGCTCTTCTTCTGCCTTACAGCTGAAAGCCTTTCCCTTGGGGCTGCAAGGTGGTCACCTCAGTCTGTCCGTAGGATTATGGAATAGTAGTTTCTGACTTTACCTCTTTTTCTACTTATGGAGAGCCTTCAGCTCTAGCCTCATGTTCAGGTCTTGAAGTTTAGCTCTTGCAATCTAAATTAGACCTGCTCAGGGTGTTTGAGAGGTCAGTGCTTTTGGAGGCTGCAGTGGAAACTTCTTTGGAGAGAACTGGTGAGTACTGGAACAATGTCAGATTGTGCTGGGAAAATCTGCTTCATGTGGGGTGTCTTGAAGGAGCAATTACAAAAATAACACTTGCCATCAGCCAGTAGAGCAGAGAAGTGAGTGGATAATAAATACAAAAATCTGCTTTGTGTTCCAGCATCTCAAGATGTAAAGCTTTTCTATTAGAAGTTTGCATGGAGAGTGATGATTTAAAAACAGCCACTCTTCTGAACAGCTCATAGCTACATTTAAAATTTTAATGTTGATGAGTTGGGTATCTGTGGTTTTGTTTTGTTTTGTTTTGTTTTTTTTAAGTATGTATTTCTACAACTGTAGAAGAAGCTCCAGCCTATCATAAGGTTGTGCAGACATCTAGAGCTTGCTTTTTCCCCTTCTTACAGCTGCTTGCTAAGGAAGGTAGTGCAATTGGTGTACAGAACGTGGGTTTTAAGGCTACCTGCTGAAATCTCATTGAACTGATAGGTCCTGTTCCAAGAATGACTGAGAACAGACATGAGATTAGACACTACAGCTTTCCATCCTTCTCTCAGAAATGTTGTTTTGACATGTTGTGTGAAATGAACTTTTTCCTTTAATTAGCGAATGGCCTGCAAAATAGTTTCATAGAAGCAGTTACACTTTGCAGTGAATTTAATTTCAGTCCACTTAGCATTGTGTTCTTGCTTTGCAAACTATTGAATAGATCAATTTTTGACTAATTCTGTTTATCATCCTGAGGTTAGATTTTACAAGCAATGTCTGTAACCCACCACCATGAAAAATTATTTCAAACGTGTACTTCATTAAATTTCTCTTCAATATTTGGCTATCACTGGAGGATTACAGTTTTCTGCTGAAGTAGTAAAAAACAAATTGCAATGAAAATTGACTGTCAACTTGTTCTGTATTAAAATCCTTTAAAGTATCAAGGTACACAGGTGGTTTTGATTTACACTTGTGTCTGTTTAGCAGTGCACAAATAGAAAATATCAGTCCTTTCCTTGCTAGCTTGCTAAAAAATATGCAGACCAAACTGACATCAGTAAAGTATAGAAAGAATTTGTTTTAAACATCAGTTGAATGAAAGCAGAACCGATGTTTCCCCAGTATTTCAGAGGATATTTTCATATATATAAGTTCCAAAGTGCTCTCTGTTTATTAGAGTCTAGTTTCTGCTTGAAAAAATATTGTATCACATTCTTATATAATGCCTTTAGTTCAGATGGATCTTGGAGACTCTCAATAGTATATTGCACAAACTAGCTTAGTTTCAGTATTGCATATCACTAAATGTAATCTGCCCATTAAGAGTCTATGTGCACTAACCCTGTGAAAGGTAAAACTAGGAAACAACAACAACAACAACAAAAAAAGCAGTATTCAGTTTAAGCTGCTGTGGAAATCTGAGCAGGCAGCATGTTCTGAGGAATTAATTTTGGATGAAGGCTAATCTGCCCTCTGTCTCTCTGGTTGCTGGAGACAGAGGCTGTTCCTGTTTGCAGCTCCAAGCAGGATCCTGATGTAGGTAGTGTGAAATGTTCTCTGGAAGGAACCCAAGATCGTCACCTTTAACTGTACAAGGAACCTGATAAGAGTTAATGTCTGTACCTGCAATTAATCTATACGAATACCTACAATTAATTGTGTAATAATTTTGGCTATTCTGTCAGCTTGCATTTTTTTGCTCTGGGCCATTAACGAGGAGATCAGGATTTAATTGCACAAATAACAGAGAGGAGCTTGTGCCTACAAAATATATTTCTGCTGTTACCACCAAAGAGTAAAATTAGAGAGGCAGTTTCAGGTTGGTTAGATGTAAGTGCCCTTGAGAAACAACACTGTATTTCTGAGAGTCGGTGTTTCCTTGATAAAAATTTTTAGTCTGTGTGATGTTTCCATATCAGGAGCAAAGCAGAGCGTTCACGGCATTCGGCGACCTTAATATTTCAAAATGTAGGAAAAGATATGGAAAATTAACTCTCAGTATCTTTTCAGGAAGATGATAGCATCACAAATCCCCATGTGAAAGTCCCAGTTGCTCAGTGTTTCCTCTTTCCAGCAGCCCGTGAGTGGAAACACAGATCACGGTAACGCTGTTGCTCCATGCCAGGGAGCGTAGGATGCCATGGCAGGAAAGCAGCGCAAGAGGAGAAAAATCCCTCTAGGGTACAACCCCCTCGTACACCCATGGATTTTGCATGCTGTTTTTGTGCCGCAGCAGCTTCCATCCCGGGCATTGTCCGCGGGTCACGCAGGAGGTGAGTGCCCGCACCCCTCCACGGCAGGGCCTGGGAGCAGGATGGTGCCCAGCTTTTACAAACCGCCTCGTTCAGCGCTGGCCTTTAACAAACCTCATCCAGAGCGACCCAAGGGGGTGCACCCAGATTGAATTTCAGCTTGGTTGTGCCCCTTCTCCGTCTGCTTCCCGCTCAGGTGGTTAAATTTGTGCCCCTGGGACATGCAGCAAGCCCCCAGCCCGTGGCTTCCCGTGTAGCCACCGCGGCAGCGTTGCCCCCCCAGAGCTTTCGGGGTCTGGCGTGCCTGGGTGGTTGTGCCTGGGTCAAACCCGATCGACGGGCTGTGCTCCGCGCCGCTGCGCCGGGCAGAGCCGCGGCCGCTGGTGGGGAGGGACCGTGGAGGAGTGGGAGGTGTGGGCAGCAGGACTGAGTGAATGAGGAGCACGCAGAGATGAGGGGGGGAGGAAGCCAGTACCTGCTTTGGAGTTCAGGAAGGGTGACAGTGCTCTGCCCATCCCTCCCAGAACAGTGCCAGTGCTGTGACCGGCTGTCCCGGCAGCCAGGCGCTGCCCCCGCAGCACAGCGGGCATCACCTGTGGTGTCAGCTCCTGCCATGGGACCCTGGGAGGCGGCTGTTGGGGGACCCACTGGTGTAGCTGACACCCCACTGTGGACGTTGTTGCTCCCTATGGCAGTGGGGAACCTCTGCAACAGTGGGATCTGCATAGTGCCATCCACCAAGGTGGGTGCGATGTGCTTGGCTCCCTCCTGTGCCCCGGGCAGGACACAGCTCTCCACCAAGGAGTTCCCCTCCGCCTGTTCCTCCCTCCATGGCATCTCCCATTTTTAATCATGCTTCGGCACTATCCATCTTAGGAACATTCCAAGTGCCCTGTGTTCCCACAGGAAAATAAAAGAAGTAAGGCCAATGACAGAATAGGGCGAGGAATAAAAAAAATTAAAGGCCACGGTGACTTCAGAAAGATAAGATATGTAGAGGAAAGGGAATGGCAAACGCCCCTGGTTAATTGAAGCTGTCCTTGCACAGAGAATCAATCTCCCCTTTCATCAGGCAGTAAGAGAAAAGAAAGCTGCTTGATAGATCTTGTGATCAAGGAATTAAGCCATACATCTCTGAATCTCGCAGGAAGAGAAGGAAGCCAGAGCTCCCTCAAGTCAAAGCAGAAGCCACATCCGGAGAAGAAAGAGTTTGCTTAAAGATAATTTCCTTTGATTAGTAAGAATTACCATTCCAAAACATTTTTTTCAGTAATTGTTTCACCTGATATTTTGCCACTGTGTATGTGTGTATATATATACATATAAAAACAAATTAGGAAAAATAGACTACTCACTTGTGCTATTTATTTATACACATGATATGGGAACAGTTTCTGTCATGCTGTTGTAGTTTAGGAGTGATTTGTGGATGGGGTTTTCCGGAGAGCAGCACTTGCCCAGGAAGAAGCGGCACAGCTCTGCTGTCATCCTGCATGCAGGACGATGCACCTCACCAGGCAGGAGACATTGCTAACCCAGGTGTATTTTCAGGAAAACAGATTGGGGCTTCCCTTTATGTCTGGGGGGAATGGGGTTTTGTTCTAGCCCCAGTGCCCAGCTGAGGTTTGTTTGTGAACACCTGGGAGCTCCAGGTGTGGCACATTTGGCATCTGTGCTTAAAACCTGCTGATAGCTGTTTGTTTAGCTGTTGTCCGAGCCTGTGAACATGGAGCTGTTTGCTTTGTAGAAGTGACTGAGTGAAGCAAACAGTGAAGTGTATATATAAACTAAGCTTCAGTGCTGAGACTATGTTAATTTTTCCACAAAAACAAAGTGTTCTGCTCAAGTGGTGCGATGGGGTGTTTCTTGTGTTGCATTTATATTCCAGGTACAGTATTTGTCTGAACTGTTGTTGTAAGGGCTAATATTAAGTACATTTTTCTGTGAATACCGTAGCTTCTGCAATGGAAATGTTTTACTGGACAGTGTACTTAACAAGTTATTATTTCGCCTGCTATTAAAATCATGTGTAGTATGAAAACCCGTCACTTGGTTTAGGACAGCAGTGTTGCCCAGCAGTGCTGCTGAAAAGCTTAACAACTGCCTACCTGTCTCTGATACACTAAGGGGAATGTGATCAGCCAGCAATGTCCTGAGTTGAAACAAATACACTTAATGGAAACCTTTAAATACAACAAGCATTTTGCATTTAAAGAATTTTTTCTTTGTTTATATAGAGACGTTTACGTTCCCTGGATAAGTGAAATGCATTTAACCAACAATATGTCTCTTGTCTTGTAGATTACAGAAGTTTGTGGAGCAAAGCGTGTGGGTTATTTTGGTCCTGCTCAATTTTACATTGCTTTGAAGTTAATTGCAGCAGCGCAGTCAGGGTTCCCAGTACGTATTGAGAGCATTAAGAATGGTAAGTAGCAAATTTTGCTTGCAGCGCTATGCACTTGTTTTTCACTTTCTTTAATGCTTGTCAGCTCTCCGTGGTGGTAAACCTTTTCTTCTAAAGTGCCTGTGAAACAATTGTATTTGGAGGAGCAGAGGAAGAGTTGGAAAGTAATGTTACGTCCTCTAAGTGACTGGTAGAAAATTGCAGTGAATTACATGTATGGTAAAGCTGAGATGACATCCCCCTCTGGAAAGGGTGTTACCAAAGGAATGGCACAAGTGATAGCTGATCAGTGCTGGGGGTGCATTTCTCTCTCACCTTCAGCCTCTGATCTCGACAGCTGTGCGGAGCGGGAGGTGATAGCTGCTTTGGGTGGGGGAGGTGGGCAGGTCGGGGTCCCCCTGTGCAGGGCAACTGGCAACATTCATCTGTTGTAGCAAATAATCCTGCTGAAGGAAATGGGTAATGGTGACAAAATCACAATGCTTCCTATCAGTAGGTATAAAACCGTGTATGAGATGTAATTTAAACCAGCTTTGTTCTTCCCAGTGAATTGACAGTAATATTAATTGTACCACTTCTGATGGAGAAAAATGCTTCTTAAAAGAGGCTTATCAAAGAGGTGGCAGGTCCCTTTTAGCTGCTAAACCTTGATAGCAACTAAATGGAAGGAACTCGATGTTCCAGCCTCGGAGAGGCATGCTCTTCCTCAGCAGGGCTCAGGAGTCAAAACACGTGGCTTTTCACTTGGGCTTGAGCCTGAACAGGTTTGAACCCTTAGCTCCCTGATCCGAGTCAGGCTTTTGAACCGTGGGGTGAGGCTGTGCTGGGGGCAGGAGCGCTTGCCACCGTCCTGCTGAAGGCAGCGAGATCAGAGAGGCCCGACCTACCCAAAGCCTCGCAATTGGGTCGCTGCTCCCAGCGCGGTTTCTGCTCTGCTGTCCCTGCTAAGGGCCACGAAATGTAGAATTCACCAACGTTCCAAGGTACAGGGAGGGGGTTTCTGGGTCTGCCCCATGTGCAGACCTGTGTGAGCTGCGCTCCCGCGGCGCAGAGCTCCCGGCCAAGTGGAGGGGATCGGTCGTAGCCGGCACGGTTCGGTTCGGTTAGTGCCTCGCTGGCAGAGGAGTTTCAACCAGGGCTGCAACAGGGCAGCCTGTATCTGTCTGTCAGTTTTCCTTGCAGGCAGTTTGTGTGCTCTCTCTCACATTGCTGCCCTTTTTAAGGATGTTAATTTGAAAAAAATAAAAAAACACGACAAAACCCAACAAACTAAATTAGAAACCTCAGCTAAGTGAGATTTACTGTGTATGTTTTACAAGTCCAGCATCTGCAATTAATCCACAAATCTGAGTGAAGAAGGGTACTTGCAGCCCTTGTATTGATATCCTGCTTGCTTACTGTTACTGAAATGCTTCCGGTGTTAATTACATTTTCTCTTGAAATGTATGAGTGCCTTTAAAGTAGGGTGAGTAACATGCACCAAACTCCAATTAATTTCTTTTTCTTCATGGTAGTAGCTGTAGTAGTAAATGATTACAGAGGTGATGTATGGCTTTGCTCAGTTTTGAGCACTATGCTAATTTTAGTTGTATTGATCTTTCAGGGTAACTGTGCACAAAAATAAATCATGTTTCATCCAAATAATTGTGAATTGTCTTAAAGAGTGACAAAGTGTCACTCTTCTGCTCTGCAGAGCAGACACGACATGGGACCTTTTGACACATCTCACCAGGCCTTGGTGTGATCTCTGAACCCTACCATTTTTAATTTGTTTCTTTCATGATGGCAGCACTGAGGATACTGTGATCCTGACTGATTAATTCATCAGTCCCACAGTTTCTGTGGGAAACTATTCTTTTCATTACAGACAATGTTTTGAAGGCAGGAAATGAGTTTGCTGCTTGCTTTAATAACGTGCACAAGGCTCATTTCTTTCTCTTTGCATGGAGAGATTATATATTAAGCTAGTGAATGTAGCTTTGTGTAACATTCACATTTTTATTAAGACATAAAATAATCACAGGAGTTCCATACTTATAAATGTTACAAAATATAAATAATACTCTTTTATAGATAAACTTTTCATTAGTTTTACAAGATGATACTGCTTAAAGTACTTTTAATGTTCTGTACTCTCAATTGAATTTTTCTCTCTTTTAATGAAGAATTGCCTCTACCGCAGTTCATGGCGCTGAAAAATGACAATGAAGCACGTTACGGGACTCCAGCAGAACTCCATGGAGTAAAGTTTCAGGTTCCACATGCAACTTTGGAAAAAAATTCCTACAAAAGAACAGATGAAGGGGACAAACAGGTAATAGGCCTGTCTCCTTCAGACCAATACGTCATTATGCATCCTAATTTTTGGTCCAGTCCTATAAATGACTACACTCATGTAGACTTACTCAGTTTTGCAGTACTAGCCAGGAGATGAGTTTCTGGTGTGCAAATAATCCCCATCGGGGCTGTGCTTAGATTTTGATGCATCCCAGTTGCAGCCCTGAAGGGAATTTCTCTGTATGATCTTGTATAAAGCTGTCAGCCCTGTAATATTCTGTATAAGTTCTTTCAGTGTTTCTACTTAGTCCAGTGCTGTTTCTTGGAGAGGACTAGGGGAGAAGCAGCAAACAGAAATCTTTTTCTGAAACAGAACAGAAAAGTGAATGATTTCTCATGGCCGCTATGATCCTTAGTCACTACAGAAATATTCAACTGGGAAAGAGATGTTGAATCACAAGCCACTATTTCTGCATGGGATAAGGCCACCAGATTTTCTTCCATTCTGATCTCCCCCAGGAGTGGGCCAGAAGAAAACTGCTTTTCTTTTGTCCTCAGTGAAACATTGTCCCAGTATTTGCTGTTCTGAGTTGCCAATTTAATAAAGCTGTCTAAGGGAGACTTGTATTACCTGTATTTAGAAGAGCTGAGAGCACTTACTCAGATGCAAGTGTTTCACAGCATAACCTTAATTTTCCTAATTTTCCCCAGGCCTGACACCTTCTCTTCTGATTAGGGCATGCTGTAAATGTTGTAAATGCCTGTTGGCAGGCGCTTTATCTTCCCATAACACACGCACACATTTATCACACAGCGCATTGGTGTGAGTAACGGCGTTCCCAGCCTGAGGTCAACCAACAGGAGTGAGCTGATGACAGGATACACAGGTGGAATAACAGGATAGGGAAGAGGAGCATGTATGCCTATCTGCCTATGTGTACTGGTGCTGAAACAGAACACTACCTTCAAACGCCTGGCTGCATCTAGGTTGTCTGTGTTGCGTTAATATTTTCTTTTTTACACAATAAACTGTTTCAGGATCACATCCTTTTCTTAAACAATCTGTAAGTCAAGGTAAGGAGAACACCGTAAGATAGATACCTAGTAACAGCTGCAAATCCACAGAGTGCTTAAAATACCAATTCAGAGAATTAATTTGGTTTTTTTTGTGTGTTATATGAAAAATGCTCTCCCACAAAGAATGCACTCACCCTAACTGAATGTGTTATGTAAATTCAGATACCCATTCACATTAAGCATCCTACATATGCTTCTTCAGGCATCTTTGGAAGTAAATTACCTTAAGATGGTCATTGTAAAGCTTTGCTACATGCTTTACTCCTAGAAGGCTCAATACCAAATTCTGTCTTTACAACTTTTGGTTTTTAAGGAGAATTTTCTTGGAAATAAAGGGTCTCAGGGAGCTTATCAGTTTGCCTTTTCTTTGTCAATCATGCTGTACACATTCAGATTGCCATGCAGGATTACTTAGTTGTTTTGCTGTCATCTCAGAATTCCATTCTGTGTTGGTATGTTTTTGAAATAGGAACCCAAGTCTCCATCGATGTCTCCAATCTGCTCACCTCCTGCTTCTCCATCTACTTACCAGAGAATACCCTTAAGTTATGGATATGGTAAATCAAGAAGTGGGCTGGAGCAGCAGCATGGAGGTAGGATAAAAATTGGGAATGTGCACATTATATTCAATGGTTTTTTTTAATTTCCTTCTTAAAAGCATCCAGATTTCAAACGCAACTGACAGTCAGCCTAATGATTTTAACATGTAATTAGACCTGTATTTTGGAAAATGATTCAATCATCTAATTTTATTTTGATTGTTCAATCCCGTTCCCTTTCTGGTAAATTAGGTAGATTTATGTGTCACTGCTCACAGATAAATGCTAATACCTAATCTCTGACAAGACTATGTGCAATATATCCCAGTGACAGAGCGTCAGTATTTTCAGAGTGCATGATGCTTTTGGTTTCATTAGGGAGGAAGAAAAGCCCACTCCTGATTTCAGTAGCTGCTATATTAGTTTTCAGATTGGCAGTCAACCTTCCTTTGCAGGAAAGTATAATAATCTCTCTGATTTCATAATGGAAACAACAATAGGACGTAAACGTAGAAACAGTCCCACAGTGTAACTTAGGAAAACCAGATGAAAATAGGGCACTGCATGGATGCTCTGTCCTTGATCTCACTGCCATTAGATAAGGTGGCAAAACACTCTGATTTTAGTGAGAGGGTAGTGGGGCGGACACCGGTTTTCCTGAGGCTTTTACAAGCTCCTGTTAATAGTAAGTTACCTCTGCTCTCCTAATTGCAACATCTGGTGACCAGGATGGTGGCAGTAGTAGGCACTGGTGTATACCATCCCTCCTGCTGTCAGTTAGTGTGTTTGCAGTGAGTGAGGAGTGGAGCATGCTAGTCTTTTAGCTGTTGCCCTCGTTTACAAATGAGTGAAAATTTTTAAAGTGATAAAATCCTAGAGGTGTAGAACACTCTGGTTATTTCCAGAAAGGAAATTTCTCCTGTTTTCTGGAAAGGGAATCTCTCCTACTTTAATCCCACTGGAGATACTTCAGCCAAATGTCTTCTCAGTGGCAGTAAGCAGGTAATGTTTTATGGCCTGTGCTATACCAAGTGCCAGCCTGGGTGACCTACTGGCCTTTAAGATTAGGACCCTTCCAGTTTCCCAAAGAGCACTCAAAAGGCTCGATCTGAACACCACGGTGTTGGGGTATGTGCGGGAGGTGGTAACTCCACGGCACTGAGCTGGGTGGACTGGTCTGTACTGCAGGCCTGACCCCGAAGCTGGGCCACATGGCTTCAAGGGCAGCCCTTCACGCTGCAACTGTGACTATATGCTTTCCTTCTTGAAAAAAACTTGCAAGTTTTTCTTGCTAGCAGACACACAGCAGCGTGGCCTTCTGCTTAAATCTCCTCTCCAAGGGCGTCTGTATGTTTCCCAACTTCCTTCCCGTGTTTTTTTCTGAAATTAGAAGTCACTTGTACAAGAATAAAAATAGATACCGATACAGGATAAGACCACTTAAGAAAGCGAGGGGGTTAGTGGTATAATTTTTAAGGTCTTCCTGAGCTCAAAATTTTTAAGATTTCTTGGTCTCACTTTTTATCAAGAGTCTTATGTTCTGTCTGTCTAATGCAGACTGTCTTTGTAGTGATAAACTTTAAATAGGCTGGCAGCAGAAATTCTCAGCTCTGTAAGGGTTTGCAAGTGAGTTGCATTTGTGTTTGCATACTGGACCGATTTTTACAACATTGTTCTTAAATGTGTTGTTATGTCACCACTTACTGTGTTTGCTGCAGTGGAACATGAGTGACTTATTTTAGCAAGAGAAGTAGTAATTGTTATTTTTCCTTACTAACTTCAAATAATATGAAGTGGTGAGTCACATATTTTAATTTTCAAAAGAAATTAGGGAAGGGGGAAGAAGAGTATATGGAAAATCAGTGATTTACTATTTGATAGCATTGTCAAAGCATATTTTTTTGCAGCTCACTTGTATTTCTTTTTTGTAATGCAGTATTATGCTATATATGGGTGTAAGCATATAAAAGGTGAAAATGTATAAACAGGCTATATAAATATATATTTCAACACGATGAACAATGTTTTCTGTTATCTAGTAATATATAACAGTTGCTATCAGTAACGTCTGAAGAAGAATGATGTAATGTGAAAGACAAGTATGTGGCTGGAATGTTGTTGCAGAAGACAAAATAGACTTTGATACAGTGATACTAGGTTCATTTGGTAGACGCTTGACAAAATGGACTTTGGTACTGTGATACTAGGTTCACAAGCTAGATTCTTCACCTTGTGGTATTTAATTATTTCCTTTGGCCTAGTAGAATCTTTTTTATTATCCTTTCATTTATATACTTTATTTTAAATGTCTGTAGCTCCTTATGAAGTCAGACACACTACTCACCAGCAAGATGGACCATCATCAGGGAATTATGGAGCCAAACCTGCACTCGCCTGTTCAACTCCTAATCGGGTAATGAATTGCATGTTTTTCTTTAGTAGTACTACTAATAAAACAATAGAAAAATTAAAAAAAAAAAAAAAAGGCAGAAGAATTCTCACTTCAGAAGTAAAAAGTGTTCTCCATGGTGTTTTAGACTAGAGACTGAAGTGTGCTTTTTTTAGTATATGAAAAAAGAAAAAAGCAATGCTGATAGGAAGGAGAAATGAAAATAAATAATCCAGCTAAGTAACTGAAGCTAACTAGAATGAGAAGCACCAAATAGCATAGATAGGAAAACTAGACTGAGAATCTTCAGTTGAAAAGTGGAAAAAAAAAAAAAAATTGTGGTTTTCTTAGCAAAAGTAAACCATTTTCATTTAAAATACATGAGGTTTCATAGAGATTCCTGCTTGATTTAGAATACCATCTGTAACACATGCAGCAGAATTTATGGCCTAATATTCTGTGTATTCTGTTTTTTCACCCCTGTTGGTTAAATCACATCTCAAACAGAATAAATGATTTTCTGGGCATTTGCTTTTGAGATGAGTCCTATCTTTTCCTGCTGGTTGCAAAAGCATATCTTTCCAATGTTCCAGTATGCCTGCTCTGCATTTATTACTGAAAACAGCTAATTTGCCCTAATGAAGGGCAAAGGTCTCCTAAGGAAGAGCTTTTCCTAAATAAGTAAGACTTGGAGACTCTGTACGTTTTCCCAAGTGCTTAGCACTCCACACCCATAATAAAATGTCACCTGAGCCTCAGGAAAAGATCTACAGATAGTGTCACATAGTTTTTGCTACCTTGATGTGAAATTAGGTGCACTTGTGTAGCAATTTGAATGGAAAATTAATTTACTAGCTTTATGATGTTGCCTGTTCGAGGATCCTTAGATGTGTTTCAGAACCAGTGTTTTGCATTTGATCCTTAGGAAGGGGACAGAGAAGGTTTTGGAGCAGGTTGATGCTTGGTTATTGTTCTTTCTTGCCCTCTCTCTTTAAGAGTATTGTCATCCAGGCCTCAGTCATTCCAGTTTAACAAAGGCACTAATTGTACTAGCAGCCCTCTTCTAGACACCACCACCCAACCTACCAAACACAGACCTCCATTAAATGAGTCAGTCAGAAAGCAAAGACATAAGTGGATGAAATGTCCTTCTCCCCCAGACTATTATTTTTCCCAAAGTAGGATTTTTACCTAAACCATGGAAGTGACAGAAGGTTGAGGAGGTCTCTAGGGGTTTGCATGTCTCCCTGGCTCAGGTGCAATGTGTGCCGAGTTACCTGGGTGAGTGGAAGGTCCAGAAGTGGTATAGCTCCATAGTTATAGCATCACTCCTAGACGAAATATATAGTTTCTTAGCAAAGAATGTTTTCATGCACCATGCTGCATAAATACAGCTATAGGTCCTTTACTGCTTCCGTCCATTTTAAGTGTACAGTGTGCAGTTCAGGGTGGTAATGCATGACAGCCGAAGTTAACCCCAAAAATGAACCCAGAGGTAATAAAGTATGACTTGGATTTTCCTTTTTGCAGGTCAGCAGTAGTAAGATTTCCTTTTTCTGTTAGCTTTGGTCATGTAAAACTTCCTTTAATTGCCTGGGTAAAGATACCTAATATTAGCCTCAGCTTTAACAGTTAAGTAGTGGTACGGTAATCAGTGTGGCCGTTTCTGCTTCTTGTCTTTTTAAAATACGTGTCTGCTAATAGAAGAGAGTGAATCTGGTTTCTTGAGGTTCCCAGTGCCCCACTTGACCCTTTTGGCCCCCCGCCTGTGGCCGCTGCCAGTGTCCCTCCCTTCAGTCTCTTGCAGCGGAGCGGGAGCAGCAGGACAGCAGCAGCCACTACTCAGATGACCCTTGGAGGATAACGGAGGAGCAGCGAGACTACTACATCAACCAGTTCAGGTCCCTGCAGCCCGACCTGAACTCCTTTATTTCAGGTAATTTTTACCAAAGACCATGCATGTCGAGTAGAAGGCACCAGGCTGAGACCTGAGAAGTGTTAGGTAGATAAATTAATTCTTTTTCTCTCTGAAGTGAGTTTACGAGAAAGAGTTGATAGTGTTTTCTTTTTAAAGGCAGGAAACTCAAACAGCAAACCAGTACTGTGGCCATTATGTTTTTTGCTAAATATCCTGATTTTGGAAAAATAATTACATCTAAGGGATCAGTGTTGTCAATTCAGTAGAAATTAAAATGAGCTCTCTGTATTTGATCCGCTGTATTTGTGGATCATACCTGCAGTGTATATTGAGCTGAAAAATGCCTTAGGGTTGTGCTTGCTTTCTCAGCAGAAATGTGGCAGCATCCAGTGTGATGAATGTGTGAAGCATGCACTCAACTGTCCTGTGTGGGTCAAGACTGGGTGTTTATGGATCTGAGGGACTAAAGTTTTGACCTGTAGGTGATTAAAAGCAAATCCTGGAGAGCACACACTTGGTGAAAATATGTTAACAGTGTACTGAGATTGCATTTCCATCCTCAGTAGGAGGATCAGGCTGCTCATGAGAGGAGTCACAGTGGGTATGGATAGTTGGTCTGGCAAGTAAGACATCCCAGGTTTTAAACTGAGACCAGTTTTACTGAGCTCTGCTCTATTACTGGAGTTCAGGAAGCTCGGATCCAGCCAAATGTTTAAATAAATTACCTGCTACTGACAAAAATTAGTGCTTCACCAGTCCTCTGCCTCAGCTAAGTCCTCCTTCATGTGATTTGTTTGAAAGAGAAAACGGTTGTTCAACAACATTGTATTTCCTCACAGACTTACATATGTCTGTGTGTATGTAAGTATATATGACTATACAGCCTCTCAGCTAGTTGTGCATTTTCCTTTATGTTGAGCAAGATTCTCAGGCAGTCCTTGTACATCCAAAATTACCATTTATAAATTGTAAATTTGAGTTTCCACAACATCCTAAAATAATTAAAGTGTAGAAATCCTTGTTGCAGGGTGATACAGATGCTAGAGGTTTGTCCAGGTTTAAGAAGTTATTTGAGAAATCTGTGGTTGAAAAATCTGTCAGAAGTTATTGAATATTTAAGCACTACCCCTGGGTGAGATAGTTACTGAATTGCAGGCAGTCAAGAGGTTGGAGGATAGATGTTATGGAGCTATATTATTATTACGTGGCTTTGTCATGGTCACATACTCTTCTCTTGGCATCTGGCGTTGGGGAGAACAGTGCTATGTGAGGTGAGTCTTGGACCTGCCCCAGTGACAGCTTTTCTTAGGTACTGCAGTGGGCATCTGACCTGAACGCCCAAGGGGAAGAGGAAAGAGGAATACAGACCTAGAAGTCTACACTTTATGTTGCCTTACGTTTTGTAAGCCTGTGTCCAGGAAGGGCTTCCAGGGTAGCTACTGTCCTGTTGCAGGCATCCTCACTCACCCTGCCATGATAGCCCTTCTCATTTTTCTCCTAGCTAACGAATCCACTTCACCATCCCTGTGCACCTGTGCATCCCATATGCACAGACTGTGTGCTGTCTAAATCTCCTAGTTTGTCTTGTTTTTTTTGTTGTATTTTATTTTTGTTTTAAATCATAAAACTTGAGCCACTGCAAGGAAAGGTCATGATTGAAGCAGTGTCTTGGGAGAGCAGTGCAGACACTATAGCACTGTTCTGCCACACACATGGCTTCTGGGTGAAGCAGAGCCATTTGTGTCTGTGACTTCATCATTGGTGACATATTAATTATGTTTGTTAGAATCATTTACACTAAAGTGTGTTTATTTATTTATTTATTTTTCCCATATGGAGGGAATGGGGAGATGAGGTCAACAGTTCTCTGTGGCTTTCTCTGTCACATAGCAAGAGACGAATGGTCCAATAGTTATATTAGCATCCAGTTAATCTGAGTGTCTCTTGGTCATAAAGTAACCAGCTGCTTCTGGCATGGCAGCCCTGGCCAAAAGGTAAATAATTGGAGAATTAATTTCCAGTGGTTGATAAGGCACGCTTTCCCAACAGGTTCTGTGGCAAAGAATTTCTTCACAAAATCAAAGCTGCCCATCCCAGAGCTTTCTCACATCTGGTAAGTACTGTAATATTGTTGGGGATGTGTATCCTGTTTGTTTTTTTTTTTTTTTAAAAGATGCTTAATTCAAGAGTTCTTGTTAAATTTTGAAAAGTGTCTTCAATTATAAATATTGCTCTTATCTCCAGAATCACTTTCAGGCCCAAGCACCAGGGTGCTCATTGATGTTTCCTGACATGGTTGTTTTCTGGAGAGATGTTCACATACTCAGCAGGACTGGGAAGGTTTGAACAGTGATGTAGCTGAGAGCATGTTCTTAAGTATATTGTAAGCAGCATCATTAGCTCAACAAACTGACATTTTTCATGAAACAACACAGAAGAGAAGCACCCCTGGAATGTTTTAGATGTGTTGTTGGTTTTATGTTTCTGGCTGTGTTTTGTCAGAGGAGGCCTAATTAATGCCTAATTTTTAGTAAGTACAGCTACATAATTCATCAGTGCTTTTCTAATGAACCAGTACACTTACTTTTAATGAGCTTATTTAGAAAAGATTGCGGATGGAACAGTACATGGTAAAATTTGACAAGGATTCTCTTATATTTTCATAAACAACATGGTGCTTGAATTCAGCGTCATCCTTGTATCTTGGATAGGAAGAACAAACAGTTTTAAATGTTGATCAGAAATGCTGATAGAGGTTTTACTTTTATATATGCTTTTATGAAAAGCTGAGAAGAAAAGCTTGCAAGAGCCTGAACATCTGTCGGGGTCAAAGAATACGTCTGGAATCTTTTCAAAGTGGATTGTCAGTTGAGAAAATAAAAAAAAAAACCTGAAGAAACATAGTGTTCAGGGGAAATGAATACTGGAATTTAAATTTAAGGTTACTTAAGAAGAATAGATTAACCCAACATGTTAACAAAACACATTTTAATTCTATTGCTGACATAAGTTGTTCTCTGTGCAAAATTTAAAGAAGAGTATTGCTTTCTAGTAGATAATTATATTTCTGTGATGATGTGATTTATCAGCTTCTGTTGCTGTGTTAAACACATGGGATGTTTTTTGTCTTTGTCACTATAACCTCAACAGCTTGAAAAATGCTTGTTACTTTCAAAGAGGAGGAGGTTATATGTTTGTTTGTTTTAGTTTGTGTGCTCATAATAAACTATTACACAATTCTTGCAAAGAGTTAATTTATAAAATGGAATTTCTGACCTTCTGAAGTCCAGTTTTAGAGTTTGAGAAACATCATAGAATTAGAGAAAACTGCTTTAGTGAGAAGTTAACAATAACATTTAAATTTGTCAAGAGCATTAATTGAACTCTTTTCTTGAGACTAGTCAGTGGTGCTAAGTAACTTGTTGCCAAAGTCCATTTTTAACTTTTTCTGCTTGAAATGGTTTAAGATCCTGCATGGATTGGCCAAAAGGGCTTCTAACCACTGGAAAGTTAATTTCATCCCTTGGAAGTACAGGATATGTATTTCATGTTACAATTTATACATACCATCATATTGTATGGTATGATGTATAACAAAAAATGTACTTTATTAATAAAGAAAAAAGCAACAACTCAATATTAGAAAATTAGCTTGCTTCATCTTCCCCAAGACAAATATACAAGTTAGGATCAAGTGTGAATGAGAGATGCTTGTCCTGTATTAAAATATCTCTTCTTGAAGTTGCATTTCTGTCTCCCCTGTGATTACACGTGTATGTTTCCCTGAGGTAGTGGCTTGGAAAATGTGTGTCTGTTGTACCCACAGGGAGCTGAGCGATGTGGATTGTGATGGGGCGCTGACGCTCCCAGAGTTTTGTGCAGCTTTCCACCTTGTGGTTGCGAGGAAGAATGGTTACCCGCTGCCGGAGACGCTGCCGGAGACGCTGCTGCCTGACTACCTTCAAGCAGGTAACGTCCCTGTGGCGAGTCGTGTTCCTGTGGCCATCTTGGGAACCCAGCGTGCATGTAAGACAGGTTTCATTTTCCATCCTGCAGGTAGGATGGGGTTCTACGCTGTGCAATGGCTCTCTGGTTGCTTTTTAACCCATGCGTTTTAAATCGTGCTTACAAGGTGATTGCTGAAGAAGGAATGTATAAAAGCACAAAATAGTGATGCAAAGTGTAGCAGTTACCTGCCTCTTAATTTCTGCCTCTTTGCTCCAGTGTGTTTCAGGTGTCACTGCAGCTCAAGTGGCAGATGATTACCTGTAGCAAAGTGTCATCATTTGAGCTCAGAGGGCAACTGAGCACAACTGTAGCTATTCACTCTCTCCCTTCTTCCACAAGTGCTGAGAAGGAGAAAATAAGCAAAGGCTTGGGATTCGAGATAGGACAGGGAGAAATAAATCACCCATTATGGTCACAGGCAAAAGACAGACTTATTAGGGGAAGAAAAAGAAGAACCTAAGTTTATTACAGACACTAACAACAACAACACTTAACAGACAGGGTAGGACAGTGAAAAGCATTACCACAATCTTAAGAACACCTTTCTCCCACCCCTCCCTTCTTCCTGGGCTCAGCTCTGCTCCCGATATCTCTACCTCCTCCCCCAGCGGTGCAGGGCAGGGAGTGGGGGGTGCAGTGTGGCTGCTCCTTCCATCTTTGGTGGGGGGAGCTTCTGGAACTTCTTCTCCCTGCTCCATTGTGGTCCTCTTCTCACAGGAGACAGTCCTCCATAACTTTTCTCCAACTGGAGTCCCTCCCATGGGCTGCAGCATTTCCTGAACTGCTCCAGCATGGAACACCCCCACATGCTGCAATCCTCCCAGTGCTGAACTACAACAGTGGGGGCTGCTTCTTCCCACAGGATCCTGGCCTCCTTGAGGTGCAGCCACCTGCTCTGGTGCAGGTTCCCCCACAGACCACAGGTTGAGATCTGCTCTACTGCAGACCTCCATGGGTAGTGGGGGGGGCGCACCCTGCTGTCTCACTACAGGATACTGAGGAGATCTCTGTTTTGGTGTACCTCCCTCGCCTTTCCTCCTTGGTTCTTCCACTGACCTTGGTGTTCATGTAGACGTCACAACTCCTCCTCATAACTCCAACTCCTCCTCCCAGATTTCCCTTCTTAAATACATTATCACAGAGCCGCAGCCACTGTCACTAACTGGCTCAGCCTTGGTGCAGAGGTGGGTCCAACTTGGAGCTGGAGGAACTTTGAGAAACTTCTCACAGTGGGCCACCGCTGTAGCCCCCCTCCCTGGCTACCAAAAACTCCACCACTTGCCCAAACCCAGAATACAAAGGTAATCCAACAAGATTTATGTGGCCTTTAACTCTTTTGATAATTTTTCCCTGAAGTATCTGTCTCTTGAAGATGTGTTGAAAATGATACTGGACTGCCTTAGAACTTATTATCCCAATATATTTTGTTAGATGCAGTTACCAGTTGTATCAAAGGTTGAATTTTTTTGTAATTCATTTTGTGTAATCCACAGACTGTTCTAGAATTCATTTGCAGTAATGATGGGGAGATTACAATGGTTTGTGTAGCACAAGGATGAAATAATCCAAAATATAACATACCTCAGTAACAATGTGCAGTGCGAGACCTGCCCTTTCATTTGTTCTCTTCAGGTTATGTCTCTCTTAATTATAAATGAACATTGAAATATATACTCTTCCATCTAAAAAATGTGCATGACTTTCTAGGGCAAGGAGGATTAATCACAGATGATAATTATAGTGCTAAGGGATAATATTTATGACCTAATAAAATCTCCATTAAATTTGATGACACTGAATATATTAAAAGACAGGAAAAGAGCAAATCAAGCTGCAGTTAGGAAAATTAAATGTTCGCCCTGTATCAGATTTGTGAAGTAATTTCTGGTGGAGTCATGTTCCTTATAATCCACTGTCTTCATATCTGAAGTGAAAAGCTCCTGTAAAACCTGCACTTCTAAGTCTTCATCACTTTTAGTCTCTTTAATTACATTCCCTTGTCATAATTACAACTATCCTTTCCCTCCGGGACCACCACTTTGTTCACTACTTTCATGCCTGTTCTTGTGATAAATTAACTTGTAAGCTCCTCTATGCAGGTTCTTGTTGGTGTGTCTTCACATTAAGCCTTTTTGGGTAAAACTGCAACGGAAATAACTATCTCTAGCAGTAGGGAATCATTACGTCAATGGGGGAAGAGCATGGTAAACTGTGGTTGTTCCCTGGGAGTCCTCTTTTTCCATCATTTGTCCCTTTCAGCACAGGGTTCTGTACCATTTCATTAGATGATTACTGTTTTGTGGTGTTGCACGCAACCAAGCATTTGAAGCCTATTTACATGGAAGAGGGGAAAGAACTAATTGTTTGTTGTGGGCACTCTAAATACATCAGCTAATATGCTAAGTCTTATTAGCTTAAAAGTCTGAAGATATCTCATGCTTGTTCTGCTTCCTAGTCAGGATTGAGAAATCTGTCTTTTGAAAGACTTGGATTAATAAAGAGTAGAACATCTCAACACACTTATAATACCATAAATCACAAGAAAGTGTAGAGCCCTGTTTATATCAGCTTCTGAAATGAAAACATTGATAAGCAAGCAAATGACTCCATACACTTATGTAAAATGTCAACAGAAATTTTCAAGAGAAATTTTTTGTTTTCATGTTTTATAATTTTATTTCTGTGAAACTTAATTTTTTTGTTGTTGTTGGCTTGTTAGGAATCCAATGAAGATTGCTGGAAACTGTTTTTCATTAGGTGGTTGTATTAGTTTCAGAATGTGGCAGAATTTGGTTCAAGTGAAATATTTGCATGTGAAAAAAGTGTTGAGGCTTCAAATAAAGTGACTTGGAGCATAAGACAGAGCATTTAAGAATGAGTTAATCTTGCTAGTTTTGTGGCTTGTTCTATAAACTATAAGCACAGGTCCAAATCCTAGCCTGGCACAGCTCAATTGACAATTTGACCCACCTGCCATCTTTTCATGAAAGTTTTTATTAAAACTAATTTACAGAATCTGTAAAGCTATTTGTTCTGTTTGTAACCCACTGTATTGTAAATCAAAACAGATTTGCAAGTTCTTAATTTATTCAGAAAAGCTAGATGCTAGCCAGAAACTAGAAATTTGATGTGAGAACTGCCTTTCAATATATTGATCTTAAGAAAAACTGTTTTCCAGCTGTTAAGACAGATTTATCTCCGAGGAACTAATCACAGAGTGCTATAAACAGAAGGACCTGAGCTTGTGGAATTGGAATGAGGTTCTTATGAATATTCCTGTGAGAAGTTAGAGTTGACTTTTGCTGGCCTTCAATTTTAGTGTATTATGTAGATTCTACTATACTTTTCAGTATTCAAAATATCAAAAATTGGAGTTGAAGGTTTGATAAGTACTTTTAACATCCATAAGACAGCAAAGTATAAACTATAAGGCCAACCAAGTTTATGCTGAACTGTGAGGAGGAAAAATGCAAATAAATGGTGGTTGTTTGGAAGTTAATGTTTGCTAAGAATCATTTCTCTCAAATTCCACAATTATTTCTGCAACAAAAATTATACATGCTATCCCTTTAATGACATTGACTTATTAAAAATACAAGATAGAAGGATTTTCTTCATGGTGCTTGTCATCCATGGCTTACAGATCAGTTCTGATATGTAGAAATGAAGGGCAAAATGATGCTGGAACAGGTTTTTAAGAAGTGTGTATTAACCAAAGACTTGGCATGTCTCTGTTGTTTGGTTGGTTGGTTTTTTATTTGGTTGGGCTTTTTTGTGATTTTTTTTTTTTTTTCCTCTTTATTTCCCCTGCAGCTTCTTTGAAGCCCATGCGTGACTGCACACTATTTGATTCTTACTCTGAGTCATTGCCAGGTGGTCAGCAGAGTCGGGACTTCAGTCGGACGGAGGTGAGGAGCGTAAGCAGGGTGGTTACGTGGCAGAGTGCAGAGGAACATGCCTCTCTACCTTCATGGCAACTGTGGTACACATAGCAGCAGAACCACGAGCCCCTGAGAGCACTTCAGCAGTCCCTAAGCTTCCCATTAAGCCATTTCAAACCCCTCTCTCAACAACTTCTTCGGTGTGTGGAAAGGGCTGTCAGGCTTTTCAAAAGATATCCCCACATAACGGAGCTCACAGTAGTCTTTGAGAGACTCCAGCCTTGTGCAGTGGTGGAGCCTGCAGAGAAATACACCTTACCTGTTTGCGTCCCGCGGGGCTGCATTTGGCCCTCCGGTGCTGGGAGCCAGAGGTGAGGGGCAGAGCCCGACCCAAAGTGACACAAGGACAGCGCTCAGGTGAAATATCTCCTGAATCTGAACTTGGTCGGAGAGGCGAGGCTTCAGGTGCAGGCCTTGTTCTAGTCAGACGCTCCTGATCACGTAGCTCTTGAGTGTTTCTTCCATTTACAGTGCTCCATTCCCACACTCGCTCCCCCAGGTTTGATGATGAGAAGAAAAATGGCTTGGCTTGTCCCAATTGCTTGTACTTTGCTTCTTTGGAGGCTGAAACGATCCAGATCTTGTACAATATGGACATGCATAGTTCTGTTCTCAGCCTTCATTTTAATATCCAGCCCTTTCATGGTCTAAGGAACTACAGTCTAAGGGTCTAGGTAGTAATTGTAAGGAGCTGGGAAGAACAGAGATCCACTGTACCAATATCACAACAGATACCAGTCTTGTAATGGAAGACTGTTGCAAGTAAAACTAAATTAAGGAGAAGAATTTATCACTGAGGTTAAAAACCAGGACTTTAAAGATCCTGTAAAGTTGAACCAACAATGGCCACTGAGTTGTGCCTGGATATTGCAACTCTGAATATATATGCTGTGGGATTTGAGGGTTTGGTATTTAAAGTAGGGAATCAAATGGCAGACAGCCTGTAAGAACAGGCCCTTCTGATGCTGCTTCCAAGTTAAAAAGTAATGGTATGTCATGGCAGCTCAGCAAGGCTGTTCTCCAGTTATTTCCTCCCTATGCCTTGTTCTGAAGTGTTTCTGGGTCAGAACCCAGCTGTTACCTCATCAAATTCAGCTCAGTAGCGGTACTGCCAAACAGACTCTCCGAAAACGCTATGGAGTGCCGTGTTCACTCTGGGCAATGCTGCAGCCAACGCTTTCAGCATCCAGTTTATCTTCTGGAGCTGGTAAAAACATAAACAGTCTCCCTGGGTGGTGTTGCTCTTTGTACAGCAGCTTGGCCAAAGTACAGCAGTCGCACTGGTTTTTGAAAGCAGCTCTGCTGTTCTGGTAGGGCGGGCTGCTGGTGCGCTGGCCGCGTAGGCAGGTCCTTTGCCATGGCAGAACAGCCTGGTCCCTTGCATATGACTTTATTTCGGGAGGGTGGTTTGCAGGGGGCCACAGGCCACACTGCACTAGTGCTTTCTTGAGAGCGTGCCTCATTAGCATATATGTGTATTGGTTTGCAATTTAAACAAGCTTAAGAGCCAAAATTCAAGGCGGTTTGCATTGAAAGCTCATTCACTGATGTCAGCATGTGTATGTATGTATATACATAACTCAATTTCCAGTCTGCAGTAAGTGTCAACTGAGCATTTGAGTTAACTCACTGCATCATCTTAAGCTAATTAATTTTCAGAGAGAATTATTTGTCTTCTGCTTAAAAACTGTCACATTCCTGTTCAGATGTATTTTTGTCAGTAGGCAAGACCCCCGAGTATCAGCTTCTCTTTTCCACTTGAATTTTAATGTGCATGTACAAATACACATGCATATATAAAAAAAGATATAGACATAATATATAATTATATTAAAAATCTAAATAAGTAGATAATTATGTGTATTTTATACACATAATTAAAAAGCTTCAGTTTATGTAACTTCTTGGCTTCTGGATCTACTTCAGTATCTCTGTGGTCTAGGGAACCATTTTTTTTTTAGGATACTGGCTTCACAAGAGATTATCCAGATATGCAAAGTGGTCTTTGGTTATTGCAGCGTTGTGAGGAAGCTTACTTTTTAGTAGCACAGCTTTGGAGACTGTAAGATTAGAACACCTTTTATATTATATTAGAACAACTTTTATATATTTCAGAAAGCTCAGAAATCTTGCTTTTAGAGTCATCTTTGGTTTCTTAGAAATAAAACAATGTTTCAGTAAGTTAACCAATGGAATTTTAAAATCTTACTAAGTGTCTGGCTTTTAGGCTCTTCTTGTTTGTGGCACTTCAGTTTCTGTGCAGAGTAAGGATAAATCAAGATTATTTCCTAAGCAATTAAATTGTACGTTTTTCTGCTTTTTAGATTTTTGTGCTGCGGTGGAGATGATAATAGTAGGAATATTATAGTAATAATTAAATAGCTGTAGAGGGTACATAGCACAAAATGTAGACAACTCAAACAAGCAACAAATCCCCCATTTTATGTTTAATTATTAATTTGATTTCCAGTGGTTAACATGTCAGACCTCCTCTGCCTTATCCCTGCACTCTCCTCCTTGAGACACTCTCACCATAACTGCCAATAACTTGCAGATTACTGTGCTGCCTTTGTAGTCAAATAATGTTCTTGTGGGAACAGCTGGATCTTCTGCTGCATTCCTAGGTTCTGCAAGGTGGCAAGATGTTCTGCAAAATCAGTTTTTTTTTTTTTTTTTATGGCTAAGTTGAAAATGAGGAAGAATCTGTAGCATGATTGTCTACTGTCTAAGCACATGTAGTTACCTGACTATATCACAGTTATTTGATTAGTTTTGCTTCATTTCTTCACTGTCTGGGTCCTAGACATGCAGGCCAAAGCTCTCAGTTTGTTTTAGGGCCTTGTTATTTTGGTCCTTTGTTATCCAAGATTAATGGACTATAAAATCTCTTCTCAAAACTGATTTGACAATGATTTTGACTTGAATTTTTCTTTTTTAACTGATGTTTTTTTTATGTTCAGAATTAATACACTGAATGAGTATCATTTGGAAGGTCAGTAATTCATCTCACTCTGTGGGAAGTGCAGTAATTCACACTTGCAATTTAATTTGTAGCTTGGCTACTTGAGGAAATATAGTTTAGATACTTGATCACTACATTAAAAATATTATATTATCAATAAAATCAGTTATGAATTATCTCCATGTCTTTATCTCTTTCCACCTGTCATCCCTTTAGGCTGTTTAATTTAATTTCAGAAGACCATTTTTACTGTGACTGCTGAACTACAGTACTGCAATACAATGGAAACAGTTCTTGAATGCATCCAGAAAGAAAATAATGGCAGGAGACAGGTCACCTGAATGCTAGGCTTTGTTAAACTTACAAAACACACAAAGGCTGCTAATGTTATTCTCCAGAATGACAAGGGTGACTGCTTTTTGTTAACCGGAGAGGTTTTGTTTTCCCAAGTCTTTGTCTCCCACTCTGGTTCTGGTCTTTTTTTTTTTCCTTTTATTTTATTTTATTTATTTTTTTCTTCATTCCTTTGGCTCTTTTCCACAAACTTTCTCACTGCCAAAACCTTAAAGATAAATGCAAGTTTTTGCACTACATGCATAAAATAATTGGCTGGGGTTGCTCTAAACGCACTCAGAAATGTCATGCTCACAGCTCATTGAAATTTGTGAGAGTTGTTACATCAATTCAAGCATGCACTGAATTAGGTCTTCAGTCTGACGCTCTTTAGAGTGTCAGGGCTAGCTAGGGATGTGAATGTACAAACATTTTTAGAGTCCAAGCCAAGTTTTGCTATGTTTCTTCATCAGAAGCATTAGGGAATCACACATGCAACTTTGTGAAACAGATCTGATAGCCTTTTACTCTGGACTTGGCCTTACTGAGTTACTGTCTTGAGATTTTTTTTTTTTCTTTAAATGTCTGCAAAATCTGTGTTTCTGAATTCATTTTTTTAGGCCCAGTGGATTTCAGGTCATTTTTAGGCCCAATGTCTTCCATGCTCCCTGGGAAAAAAAATGTATCACTTAATGTTTAGGGAAGCTTGGGGTTTCTGTTGTTTACTTTATTGTTGCTTTGGCTGCAGAGTACTACCAGTTACCTGTAAGAACAAGGATACAGAATTTGTTCCTGGTTTCTTCTTGTGAACTATGCAGCAGAAGTTACAAGAAGAACAAATGCCTGTATTTATAAGTTGCTGCTGAATTAAAGAAATGTTAAAGAATAAGACTGGGGAGAGGTTCCCTGGTTTTGGATCAGAGGCCTGAATGGGCCTCCAATGGACATGCTGATGAAATTTGTTTTTCCCATCTCAATGACTGCATGTTGTAATAAAAGAGTAGTCCAAGGATCAGCTACCTCAGCTAGAAGACTTTAGATGTAGAACTACAGAGCTTTGCAGTACAGCCTGAATTTTGGCTAAGAGACTGTTCTGATGGAGATTAACTCTGGTGAAGGGGCTGGAGGAGGTTTCCTCAACCCTTACAGAGGTGTTACACCCAAAGAGAAAACAAAACACAAAATGACATTGCTGTGTTGTGAGAAGTCTTTCCTTATATATAGTCATTAGTTCCTTGTGAATCACTGTTGAAGTGCTTCTCAAACTAATTTCAGGTGTGGAATTGCTGTACGTTGAAAAGCAGAATTATAGTTGTCTTCTTGAAGGTTCTCTATGCTTCTTTATTTTACAAAGCAAATCATCATGCAAGAGAGAATGTCACCTTTATTTCTTTTGATTTGTATTCTTAAATATTTGACTGGGGAAATGTGGGTGCTATGCCAATCAGTATAATAAATACATCTTTCTTTAAGAAGGCATCAGCTGAAGAGCTACCTGATAAATCTGTCCTGTTACAAGATGCCAAGAAAGATGACAAACAAGGTATTCAAATAAATCACTTTTTCCCCCTCCCCCCTTTATGTGTTGAGTTCTGTGTGTTAATAGTAATTCCATATATTCACTGACAGAAGCAATGGTATTTTTAATTTCTAAGCTGGCTATGTGTTGCTATAGATTTAAAAGCAAGACAATGCTTTTTAAATCATTAGTAACAGCCAAGTTGAAGACAAATAAATGAATGTGTTTGCTTCAAAATTAGTTCTATCATATGTGAATGATACGAAATGCACCTTCCAAAATATGTCTAGTCCTAAGATAATTAATATTGCCCTTCTTATTTTAACAGAGTTGTAATTGTTGTTATCAGGAATTTTGTAAGAGTAAAGACTACATTGTGCCAAATTTTAGATTTTCTTTTTTGCAGGAAATAGCAACACTTCAAAATTAGTTTTTTATCCATATTGAAAAAAGTCCCTATAATTTCTCACAAAACAAAAGTTTTGGACAAACTAGATTGAAAATTTTTTTCACTTGAAATCTGTCAGCAGCAAGCCATATGAAATGGAAGTGATCTTTTTCTTTTCCATTCAGCAGCTACTAGGGCTTCCAGAATTGGTGCTGGATCATCACACAATCATTCCCTTTTATGTGACTGTTCCCTGTCTTTTCAGATTTTCACTTGCTGTCCCTGTCCCTCAGCTGTGGAAACAAAACAGTTGTGGGTGTATTGTTGCCTTTTTCTCAGAGCTGTGGATTATATATTAATAAAAAAAATTATACATCTTGACCTCCCAGATGTCCACATGCTGAGGTTGTATCAGATGTGAGACAAGGTAGTCCACATTACTGCATCACCTTCCACAGTCAGGGTGTGACCAGATTTGGCATATTTCTACTGTCCCTGGTTCAAAGAAAAGTTGTCAGAGTTGGTGTGTTTATAAAATATTTTGATAAGTCATCATATTCCAAGAAATTAATTTTTTGTTGACAAGGTTTGTTTTGTTGTAAAATGTGTAATAGACAAGATCAGGACTTGAACCTTGAAGGTTATTGCTTTCATAAGTCTAGGGCAGATTTACTTTTTACTTGTGGAATCTTTTTTTCTTCCCTGTGTAGGTGAGGAACTTCTGCTTTGCTCTTGGTAGCTGACACGTTAAGTCAGATGGGAAGCTGCTTTGGTACATGCAGTCCTTCAGGGCTGAAGATTTGCTGTGTTTATGGCACAGATTCCTACCTTTTCAGCTAAAGAACAAATGCTCTTGTTCTGCCGTTTAGTGCTGTTCTGACAAATGAAAGAACAGGTTGCTCTCCTGACTGAGGAGATCTCCCCAGAAGTCAAAAACCTGTAGTTCAGGACTGTGGAAGCAAATTTTCCTGCATTTTCAACACTGTACAAGTAAATGAGCTCTACTCTGTCAGGTTATAACATAGTTAAATGTGGAAAATAATGTAAATAGAACTGGATCATGAGAACCAGACTTTTCCCACATGTTTTATTTGATAGCTGGAGATGAGAGACTTCATTCCAAGTGGTCATTTATAATACTGTGTATTACAGTAACATTTAAATACACAGCAATGCACTAAGAACGCCTTAAAAAGTAATTCAAAAAGGATGCGTAGACATTGGTGGAAGGGGAATAAGCACAAAGATTGGGATTTCCTAAAATTTTAGACCTGGCTGATGTTGGTGCCATGTTACATTCCCTGGGGCTGGCTGGTGAGGTTTCAGTTGCCAGAAGCAGCCAGTCTCCCGTGCGCCCTGGACTTCCAGGTGTGTAACTGGGGTGAGATGAGTCCCAAGCTCTGCCAGGTGTCACCAGCTGCTGCCTCTGTGAGAACGCTACATCTCTGAAACAGAAGCCCATGGATTTAGACACCAGAGCCCCCAAATTCTCAAAAATTAGGGTCATTTGGCAATCTGGGCATAGGCTTTTCTGTTCTTGACAGTGTGCTCTTAAAAATTGTTACTTTTTTGAGTGCTTGGGTGTTCTGAGGGTATTTGGCTACTCCTGGTTTCTTTTCGACTATGTTTAGCATTATTAGACGTTCTAACTAACACCAATTTAGATGCTCCTTTCTCAGAGCTGACACCTGTAGATTTTACCTGCACATACTTAAAGTAATTCTCATTTTGTTGTTTGTTTTTTTTTTTTTTTAAGCTCTTAAAGTAAGCACTGCTCTCAAAACGATACCAAAGGAATTTCAGCACTTGACTGTGAAAACAGGTAAGAAGAAAAAAATTGACATGTTACTTCCATTAGAATTTCAATCAAATATTTTTATATCTCAGTAAGCCTAAATTAATATAATTTGATTAATTTCTTTAAGATCCTTTTGCTCTCATACTATTTTACTACTGAAATTAGCTCTTAGCTTAAAATGACTACTACTTGCAGAACTAATCTTAATTAGTACTCCAAGTTGTCAAAAGGTATACTTGCGTTCTTTCCCTTGTTGTTAGCATATGTGCATTCTTCATGTGTGGGAAATGTTTTTAACATAGCATTTTTTAGGGAGTCTGAATTTTGTTTTTCTGTACTACAACTAAGATACCAGAGTACAAATACTGTATCTCTTGATAAAAGCCCTTCTCAAGTATGTCATAGGTATTCAGTAACTATTCTGAAATGGCCTGTTTTTTTTTAAAAATGAGCTTTCATATTTTTTGTTGAAGAGTTTAAGGGTAGATAGCCTATTGAAAAACACAGACCTTGTGGCACTTATAGCACTGACGTAAGCTTTTGATTCAGGGGGTGTTTCTTTGTTGAAACCACCCCTGATTTTTCTCTCTCCAACTCCAACATACACTTCTTGTTCCTATCATACTGGAAAATGTTATTTCTGGAACAGCATATGTCAAAATTGCTTAGTTACTCCGGAAACTTCCCATGCATTTACTTCAGTTCATCAGACCTCCCTTGCCTTCCTCTTTGTTAATCTGTTTCCTAGAGCAGTGAGAGTGTTTGCTTGCAAGCCCTCCCTGGTCCCAGTCAAGCTAAAATCTGGACTTGCTTTCTTTTCTTTTTGCATAAATGTTTTTACTTGCAAAGATATCCTTGATTAGGAAAACTGACCCCACACGTCTGTCACAGCAGTTCTCTCTTACAGCTCAATTTATTCATGGCTGCTCAACAGCTGCATGCCTCATTTCCCAACTCTTTTTTTCCTGGCTTCTTCCCAAACATTTGGCAGCTGCCAGATTTCCTATCTTCAGCTCCTATTCTCAAATGATTGCTGCTTCTCCTTCACACACACACACACACACACACACTCTTACACTTCCCTCTCAGGGGGAGAGGAGGGCGGTTGCAAGACTTTCAGTTCTGTTCTCCTCCCTGCTGGTTTTGCCCAGGAGCGCCCTGGGGAGTTTTATTTTCAATTCAGCAATTCCATCTTCAGTATACTTAGGAAGAAAAACCTACTGTCACCTGCACATCTCCTTTGCCACTGGCCTCTTTTCCCCATGTCCTTTATCTCCTAGTCAAGGAGGTCTTCCTGATGCTGCTGTGCTCCTCCAGCTGCGCTGCTGTGTTTGTGTGCCAAGGGAGGCGGTGGCCAAGATTCACCCCATTGTCATGACTTGTGTCACTGTTGGGGTTTCACCCTTCCTGTCCTGCACATTGAGGGTTTGAGCAAACACATCCTCAGTTTGCATGATACGACTGATGTTAGAAGTAAAAATGTTGATCCAGTGGGCTAGATACAGCACAGTAATCGAGTGGTTATTTGAGAATTGGTCACCATTCTGAAAGGCCATTGTAATCATTAACCTTCAGGATGAAAACTCAGTTGGGATGAAATAGGAGAAATTTTACATCCTTCTTTGATTATTTATTTGGGCTGTTTATGTAAATTCAGGAAAGATGATACTGCTGGGCTTCATTATGGGAAAGTTTTATTTGCCATCAGAAAGACTAGAGATTTGAAATCATTAAAACCTTTATATGCTCAGCATCTCTGAATATCTGGACAGTTTATTTAGGCTTCTAAGTGCAAGATCGTTGCTGGCCTTAGAGTTTTAAGGGATTGCGGGCCAAATTTGTGAGTGTTTAGATTGTACATTTCTGCCTAGGCCACCATTAAGAGGTTAGTCAGTGGGGGTGATTTAGACTAGTGGGGAATTCTTTGTGTTTTTCTTTAGCTATGTGTTATACTTGCAACTTTTATGGTACAATTTTCCACCTGATCTTCAGTCTATAAAGCAAGGAGGCACCAGTTGAATATAAGGTATTAGGCTACAGCCAAAAGTTACTGAATCAGCATCCTTTGGAATGTTAAAATGAAGTTCTATTGGAAGCAGGGCGTGGGAGCAGTTAAACACCCTAAACGGGTACCTTCACATTCTCCTATGAACTGAATAAATAGGAGTTCATGATTGTATATGACTTTAGTGCAGACCAAGCTGTTCAGTTCATCAGGCTCTGAAACTCCGGGAATTGTACAAACTTTTAAATAATAAATGTGATTTATTTACTCAACAGCTTTAGATTTTTATCAGTTTCATATAAGTTAAGCTTATGTGTCCATATCAATAGAAACATGGAAATGATTATGTTCTGTATGAGTGTAAACCTGCACCTTAAACCCAAAGTATGCACAGACTTAGCGTACTGAAATAACTGCATGTTTTATGGAAATTCTGCCACAATTGTGTGTCCTACTAATGAACTACCTGCTTTATAATATTTTTATTTATATCGTGCTACCTCTTTTGAAAGGTAAAGCTAAGTGTGGGTATTGTGTAATTGTAGCCTTGAATTTCCTGCTTTTTCAAAAGCTTAAAAGAAAATCCTTGGCAGTAGTATTCTATTGCTATCAATTTTTATTAGTAGTCATTTCAGGATTCTCTATTCCTTGTGTGCTTTCCTGTTTACCTCAACAAGATGTCCTTGGAGAGTTTTAATGTCAGTTTTACCTACAGGTTTCAGGTTTTTAGACGAAAGGCTTTCTAAAAGAAGTATGAACATAATTGCAGTCTCCATAAAAGAAGGAAAATTTGAAGGTTCTTAAACATGGCTTAGCTTGGAAAGGATTTATACTTCCTATTTCTAAGCGACATGTATTTAATAATTGTGCATGTAATTTAATAATCAGCAATTTCAGCATTGGAAAAATTGAGTCATGTGGCCTGTAGGGAAGCAGTGTCTGAAGTTGTATTCTCTGGGAGTTTGACACAGAGAAAGAGGAGAATTATCACCACTGTGTATTTTAATAATAATCTCTTCTCCCTCCTTTAGTTGCTAAGAAATGTTTGTTGCACAGAAATATAGGAATGACTGTGAGCCAGTTTGGTGTTGACAGTAATCTACTAGAACGTGGTTTATAAGTGGTTGCTTTGTGTCACTGGCAGCTGCATTTGGGTTTATTCCATCCGAAGTACCAACTGGCAATGCATGACCCTAAAAGCAGTTTCTTTTATGAAGACGTAGTGTGTGGCCATGTGTGCCATATGCTGTGACTTGTCTTCTGTGAGCCTAAAGCCTCCTATGGAGGATATATGCAGTAGTACAATGCAAGCCATTAAAAAGTCACTATTTGCCACCTGCTCCCACAGGTAGCTCCAGCTCTGTGTTTTGGAGAATCTGTTGTATTCTCAGGTAGTGCTGTAGAGTAGCTGGTAATAAATGTCTGACTTGCAAGTAGGCATATATCTGAAGGAAGCTAGAAACTCTGAGAATTATTATTTTTTTTTCCCCCCAACCTACTTGCTTCTCTTAAGTCTTAGTACCTTGATTAGCAGAATAATAGAAAAAGTACAAAGATGTACTTTTTGTGTGCATTGGGATCAATAATGCTATTGTAATACCTTGAGGATGTCTCAGTGGGCTGAATTTGAAAGCAATCACACAGATATGTTTTCTTCAAAATTATCTGATGTTAGTAAGGATAGTAACAGAAAAAGTCACAAAAAGACTATGTAAACCAAGGAGCAGCCTCAAGGAATTACCCAGAGAAGATAAGTCAGCACTGTTGTTTTCCTATAGCATAAAACCTGCATGTGGCAGGATATTTGAAATTCATCCAAATAAAAGAAACAGATTTTTACATTGGTAGAAATGTGTTTGATCAACATTCAGCCTGTAAAGCTTTCTACTTTCAAATATCTTTCCTTTCCAATGTCAAAGTTTCAACCCGGTGTGTTAAATTTTCTTTACGGTTGGTAAGATGATGTATGTTTATACTAATTAGCTTAAAGTATTTAGGAAGGGCAAAAACCTTTATGCCTTGGGAAGCAGGACAACTAGTTGTTATCCAGACTAGGAGTAAGATGTTTTCTGTGGAAAGTTTATGCTATTCCTTATGTTGCTTTGTCACAACTACATCCAGGACTACAAGGAGAGCTGTCAGATGCTTTTCCTGTGTTCTAATAACCAAATTAAAAGGTGAAGCTCTTACTACATGTGGGTTTTTGAATTCTTAGGACACTCACACATTACGAAAACAAAGGGGAAGGAGAAGCGAAAATCAGTCCCCGTTGCTCATGTGAGATGAGCACACTCTCACATCCACATTTGCAACACTCACATTTGTAATGAACACTGATTCTGCAGCTAAAGGCATTTATTTAAAATATGATATTTTAGTGGTTCTTTTTTTCTTTTCTGTTCCAGCTGCTCAGGAATCTAATGCACTTAAAGCCAGACCACGATCCAGGTACTGTTTTCATTTCTATTTCAGAAGTCGTATGTTCCTCTGGTGTTAGACACAAGACGCAAGAACTGGTGTTGCGTTTTTTATTGTTTTTAAAAATTGGTGTCGTGCAGGAAGTACAGCTCAGATCAGACAGATTTACCAGGAGGGATCTGTAAGCTATAGACCCTACAGAAGTACTGCCCTATGTCCCTGTGATCTCTGGTCATAAGGCTCTGGGGCTTTTGCCTGTCTGCCCAGCCCCGCTGCTTTGCCAGGGTGGTGACTGCCTCCAGCCCAGCCCCAGGGGCATCGTGGTGGGACAGCAGGGACCACCCCATCGCAGGGAACCTTCTCGGCAGCATTGTGCTGTTAAAACCTGCCCAGTGGTTGCATATGGAGGGAGACACTGCATGCTCCCACAGAAACAGCCGTGGTGGTAGCTCAGCGCTCGGGTGTGGGTGAGTGACTCCTTTTGTTGGCACATGTATGCTTGACTGTGGCTGGTTGGTGTGTGATGGAAGGACTTACAGACTTACACTGTCGTGCGCTAGCAATTGCACCTGCTGAATTTGGAAGTTTGAAAGAAAAGGGAAACCTCTGCCAGCAAATATTGTGTACAAATGGATTGTGAATTGGGTTTGGCTGTTCACCGTTCTGGTGTATAGACATACTGCACATTCACTTTCAAACTTTTTTTCTTTTTTTGATGCTAGAGAGCTTCATTATTTTTTTTTTCTTAGGTAATGAGACTATAATCAGGAGCTCCCTCCTTACAAGCTTGTCAAAGCCTGCTAATAAGAGAGGATCATCTATAAGCATGATGAATGAAGATTGACATCCTTTGTTCTTAGGACCTATATCCAGGAAGGCTGAACTGCTTTGTGTGCTGTTTTTCTGTTGCTAGCCAAAGCTTTTTAGTTTTCATACTGTTTTAAATTTTCTTGCTGTGTTACTGAATCATAAATTGCAAATATGCAAAAAATGTACCTGAAGTATTTTACGCAAAAATGCATAAAATAGCAAATGCTTAAAGAAGTTTGAAAAGAGCCATTTGAATGTGACTACTGTGTCACATATGACTGTCTCACATCTGACTGTATGTCACTACTTCAGTGCAGAAGTTGAGACTCAAGATTCCTGAGCATATCCTTGAACTCAGTCCTTCTGCTACACATGTCCTGGAGGGCTCTATAACCTTCAGTGTCTTTGTCTTCAGGTGTGCCTGACCACCAGAGGCTACACTTCAAGTCTGTTACAGCTCTCAGCTCTGGAGCCTGGCTTTCTAGCCTAAGCTGTGCATGTTTTAAGCTGCTGGCTCTTAACTGACATTTGGGTGCCAGATCTGCCTGCTGCAAGCAACGATTCACTGTCACAGGGCTCTGTGTTGGCACGGCTGGGGCAGGCATATTTTTGCCTGGTAGCTGCTATCTTAGTCAGCCTTTAAAAAAAAATAAATAAAATATCTCAAACTGTTAGGTTGTACAATTTTAATGCAAGTAAAATATACACCACATAATATAGAAAGTAAAACTATAAAACCTTAAGATTCTGATTCAGAGCCTTCCCATTTAATTCAGAGGGGTTGGGTTAGGTCTGATACAATAAAGCTATGGAATTCAGAACTTCAAGACAAAAAATTCAGCATCAGCAGAGGTTTTCGTGCCACATGTAAATTTTGAAGCAATTACAGCTTCCACTCCTGTATTTATTAAAGTTTACATCAGAAACATAGGATCAGTATTGCCAAATGTCTGTCCCACTGAAGAGATGTTTTTAACAACAGCCTGTTTGGCAAAAAAATTATGCATTTCCCATTAGTGGGAGTTATTTCTGTTCTACTCGAATGTGTTTTTGGTCTTGCCTGTCATGCATAATGTGTTACAGTAAGTGTAACATCTCACATTGTCAGTGCTCATTTTGAACAAAGCTCTTGGTCTTGCAGAAAAACTGTAACTACAACATCTGAAAAATATTGGACGCTGTTCAGCAAAATCAAAATTCTTAGCAAATGTACCACATTGGAATTAATATGCTGTGGAAGGGCCTGGAAAGATGAACTGAGCCACGTATTTGACTAGTTTTGGTCACTTTGGAGCCACTCAGTTTTTCTGTTTTTTTGTGGAATTTGGTGACTGTTTGCTATGAGAAATTTACTCTGATAGTTAGAATATGATAAATTACAAAATGTGTACTTGTGAGAGGTAGGTTAAAGCTATACCTGTATAAACACTACCTGCACAGTTTGGGAAAGGCAACAGAAACTGCAAGGAGCAGGGGGGAATTTTACTCAGGTTTATTCAAAATAGTTGCTAGAATTATCCTGTTGACAGTTCAAGTTACATAAGGTGGCCTGAAGCTGTGATAGAAAGGGCCTTAAAAAATACCAGCCCTGTAAGCATGACTTGTTCCTTTTTCAGACACGTAGGTCCCTCTGTTGCCAAATAAATCTGTCTTGATATAAGGGGGAACTTTTAGTCATTAGGCAAGGAATTTCCACCATGAACTTGAGTTCTGGTCAGTGTATTTTTAGGTACTATTCATTGTAGTTTTTTAAAATTAATTTCTGAAATAAAATATTTTCTGCTTTTTTTTCCTCCCCTGTTTTTCATTAGGTCTTATTCTAGCACATCAATAGAAGATGCCATGAAAAAGGGAGAAGAGCCCCCAACTCCACCTCCAAGGCCACAGAAATCACATTCCAGAGCTTCCTCTTTGGATTTGAACAAAATATTTCAGCAAAACACGCAAGGTAAAGTTTGCTTTATCTCCTTCTTCCAAGCCCATTTAGGTTAGCTGCATACTTGGCAACTTGATCTGTTTGCACTAACGCTTGACAATGTGTGCGTATGCTCACTTTTGCTATAGACAGTAATACACTACAGAACAGAAGAAGTTACACTTTCTTGCATTACATCACCACTGAGGGGGGGAAAAAAAATCACTGTTGCTATAATTAAGGTGGTTATAATGTTTTCTGGCACAATAGTGGGAAGCATTAACATATGGTAGTCTGTCATCACTGACTGTTTATAACTAGTCTGGCTGTTTAGACAATTCTCCTCGGTATCTACAATATATTTGATTTTTATTACTACTTACTTTTTTTTTTTTGTAGTTCAGAAGCAGGGAGAAAACCCTTAATGTTTAAACTGGGAGAAAATTGAATTTCTCGTGTGCAAACGTTTTTGATACTGAAATCTTCCATATGCGTGGGGGCAATCGGAAACCATTCTTTGAGTATAAAGGAAGAGTAATTTCTTTTGACAGGGGTACATGTGAGGGGAGAGAAAGAAACTGTAGCTGGAGTGAACTGAAGGAAAACCACTCTCCAGTGCGTTGGTGTTTGAATGGGACTTTTTCTTTGCACAGTGACTGTGCTTTAGCAGCGTCCTTGAACCAGACCAGAGCTTTATGCGGTGCACACCAATCATCTGATTCAAGGACTATGTTAAACATGGTCATGTTTATGTTTGAGAAGAAAGCCAAGGTTTGACTGTGTCAAGAAACGTTTTAACTGAGCTTTCTAATGTGGTTCTTGGAGTAGAAAAGAAAGAGCTTCACCTCTTGCTATGTGGAACTTTTTTTTGTGCACGCACCAGACAGAATTCAGGAGCCCTGCTATATGTGCTGAACCCTGAAACTCAATAGGAATAGACTTTTTTCTTTTCTGCCCTACACAGAGAAGCAATTTCTGATCTTTGACTGTTGTTCCTGTTCAGGAATCTGTTGCCTCCAATTTTGATTTCATTATACATCAAAATAAAACCCCACACAGAGCCAAGTACACATTTTCTAAGGCAGCAAATCCTCTCAGAATCCAGATAAAAAGTATAACTGGAAGGAAATAAACTTGGATTTAAGTTTCTCTTGGAACACAAATCAAAGGAGAATGTAAATTCTCAAAGTTTTCATTCTGTGAATGAAAAGTAACATCTTGCTTTTGAAATGGATTGTTTTGAAGGTCACCATTACTTTTGAAGTAACATAACAATTTATTCTGGGCAACTTAACAAACTGACAGTGTTGTAGTGAGTGCAGGAAAGGATAACTCGTCCTATCAATACTGTCTGGAAGGTTTCCCCTGCTGGAAGTGGAGCAATTAGGTAACAGTACGGAGTTGATTGCTTGAAAAGAAAGAAGGTGCTCTTGTCACTCTAAAACTGTTCATCATTATTTGGTTCAAACTTGTGGCTATTTATAGTTGGAACAAAAATGGGCTGTATATTGACAAAACCTGAAATAGAGTGTCCTGCCAGATTGCAGAAATGTGGAAGGTCTCCTGGAGGTTCAGCTTCCTCCTGTACCTGCAGGGTCTTGGCCTGTCACTTTTTTGCTCTCTCGAATGTGCCCTGGTGGCAATGCTAAATATTTATGATAGTCATCTTCCACTAACGAAGCTGTTCTATTTTGTGTCAAAAATGTAAATACTCATTGACAGGAAATAAGGAGGAATCTGTAGCCTTGAAGAATTCAAGGAAGAATTTGTTAAACAATTTGTAGTCCCCCCCAAAGAAGGGTTCCATTCCAAATAAATATGCATCATCAGGAGGAGGGGATTAAATCAATCTATCCCAGCGCACTCAATGAGCACCATGGTGCACTTACCTTGCTCTGCTTTAAAATAAGATATCTGCATTGGAAGTCATATTTTGAGTTCTTCATTCTATGAACAAACGTGTAGTCTATTCTCTGTCATTAAGCCATAAATAGTAGTTCTTCCGCGATATCCTATTGATAAAGTGATTTTATGCAGCTGCTTTCTTTCCCTCCACTACTCTTGCTTTGACCACCTCACTTTTTTCACCCCTTTTTTTATCCTTTTCCCTACCGATCTTGCTTCTTAGTGGAAACTCCACTCATAATTTTCAGAAACCTTTCTCATCTGGAGACAGCTATTCCTTCAGGGAGCGGTCATTGTTTCAGAGCCAAACTCTGTACTGAGGTGTACTTCACACTTTTTAAAAAGATTGTTTGTAGGAGCACAGAGGGATTGAGCACTGTCACCTTAAACCGAAGAGCCTTGCCAAAAAGAAAGTGTGTGTGCATGTTTGTGTGAAGTTAATTGCACACAGTTGTATAATAGCAAGCTGTATTCTTATTTCTGCTGACAGTACAAAAAAATGAAGTTAGAATAGTTTCCATCTGCCATCGGATGATACAGTTACAGATTTAGAATACAGATGACGTGGTGGCAATGTACTATTTAGGTTTCTTGGCTATTGAGGTTGTACAGCCTGGCATAAATACTGAACCTGATGTGTTTCTATCCACAGGTCAGTTGATTAGTTTCTGTCCTAATGTACTCTCAAGTGAATTTTTGCTGTACATTTTCTCCCTGCCCTCCTTCCTAGGTTTTCAAAAGCAGTCTCATTGTCACAGCTGAACCAGAAAAATTAGCTGGAATGACCATCCCTTCTAGCACCACCATATTGCCTAGTGTCAGTACAGAAAACCAGACTGTAAATTGACCATTTTAATAGCTTTCAGGGTATATCCAACATGATTAGAATAATCCCATTTTGGTACATTAGTTTTTGTTCTACTAATTCTTGCTCAGAAATAATCCTGACTTTGTGAGTTTAGTAGATAATTGCTGCCACACCTGCAAAGGAGTGCTCAGTAGTATTGAGTTTTATTTCCAGTTCCTCATTGGTTGTGTTGATCTATAGGTAGCACTTCTTTAATTGTAAAGCCACCAGTGGTTTGGAGTATTTTTTTTGTTTATTTTCCTTTTAAGGACAGAAAAAAGAAAAATGTCTTTTCTTCAGATAAATTCAGCCAAGGACTGTGGCAGATCCTTGTTGTGGGCACTGTTTTTTGGGGGGTGGTGGTGTTTTTGTTTTTCATTTACTGCTGTTGTATCATGTTTGCCACCATTTTATGATACCCCTGTCTTGGCAAGTATACACAGAGAACATTGATCCATGGTGACTGGGATGGCCGGCAATGTTCTAGCTACAGAAACTGTGCTTTGAAATTGTTGAATTGGGACATAACTTGCACTTGAAGGAGGTGCCTTCATTGATAATCCATAGCTGCACTCTTCTGGGATGCTGTAACTAGTGTTACCCAGGAAAAACATAAAAAAATGAGAATTTATTGAAAGGCCCCACCTTCTGAAATGTCCATATGTGAATTTCTGATAAGAAATGTTAAGAGACAAAATCTCTTTTTTTTTTTTTTTTTTTTTAGTCACATAGTCTTTACGTTAGTATCTGAGAAAAATTCAGTACTGCTAGATTCTCAATGTATTTCTTTTTGTTGAATATATGATCTCTGGCATTTTGCCTCTGTACATATTAAGAAAATACTTGGCTGGGTTTTACGCATTCCTGGAAAGACAACAGCAGGTTTTTAGTAGAAACAAAAATGTCAGTTTAAATACATACATGACCTGGTTTACAATCTTGATTTCTTCTCTAGCCCACTGTCTTGTCGAGTACAAGCCAAGAGCTCCCAGAGCAAGACTTGGGAGCCTGTGGCCCACAAAGCTTTCCTGCACTGTTCACAAAGGGCATTTGCAGAATTAGTTGCTGTCTGGGGCTCCTTGTGCTCCTTGCCATCTGTCCTGTGAGCTGTGTGAGGGGGCAGGTATTGAGGGGGCCAAAATTTCTGCAGCTCAGAGGCCAGCAGTCCTTCAGCAAGGCCCCCAGCCACCTTTTACCTAGCGACAGTAAGCTAGGGTCTGCCTCGGGATAACTCTGGACCTGGGGAAAGTCTCAGCTTTAGTATTAAAACCCAAAAATGCAGCCATTGTCTTCTGACATTTTGCTCAGGTTACCTTTTCTGTCAATGACAGCTACTAAATTCTTTACTTCTGAGCAATTATAGGCAGTGACAGCAGTCTGGGACTTGTTAGATTGTTACAGATGCCTCTGAAATACATTTTATTTCTCATTTAGATTAATTTCTGAATTGCATAACTTCTTTTAATTAACAGTTCTATTGAACAAAGACTACTTGTTTGGAAAAGAGAACTTGCTTTGATGAAACAAGAAAATTGTTATAAACAGTGTAGTTTCATGTTGCTGTAGAAGCAGACTGAATACCTCTGTGTAATTCATCAAGACAGCCATATATAACTGTTTACAAGTAAATTTTTGACTGAAGGTTTTCAGCACTCATTTGCTTTCGAAACTTGCCTCCTGCTGTGGCTGTCCCTGCAGAGAAGAACATGTGGAATGCAGGCACCATTTCTTATGTCGGCTTGTAAGCAAATAACATACTATAACCTAGATTCGCTCCTTCAGGGGGGCTGGTTTCAGCCAGCAACGTAGGGCTAGTATTTTTGGGTCTTTTCCCTGTTCGTTTTAAAGTGTGAGGTGCTAAGTACCATATGATAAAATGCTAGTTGTGTTTCCCCCTCACAAAGTAAGTGCAGCATTTTCTGTTATGGATGATGTTTTCCTAACTAGAGTCAGATCTGTAACCTCTGCTTATCTCTGCTGGCCTAGTGATGGCTGCCAAACAAGAAAATGTCCATTATGCTCTAAATGTAGTGTTCACAGAAAAGGAACAAGGGAACAGATTCATTGGTGTGCATCAGTATTCCTGTGAGTGATGTAAATGTGTCCCCACATCACTTCTGTATTCCTTCATATACATGATTCCCACGCAGTTTAAAGTGGTATTTCTATCAAAAGACTCAAGTCAGTACAAACTTCTTTCTGTGCCCTTTCATTTTCATCAGTGCTAGAGGAAGGCTGGTGTTTAGCACCATGTTTTATCCTCTTTTTCATACCTTTGAAG